AAAAAAAGGAAAGGGAAGTCACATGGGGTTCGGGTAACATAAAGTTTATTCTCAATTATAGCTCTCTCTCAACAACCAAAATGTTGAAGCTCTCCTCCTCTTTCTTGCAAATATGTTCAAGCATGCGACCTAGGTTTGTCTTATTCAATACTCAGTTCGCAGTAATTTCATGCACACTCAATGATCGTTCAGAGACCTGCCCCAGCAGAGGCCTAAAGTTTGTTCCAATGTGGGCATTTGCGCGGAAGGTTCAGATGAATTTCAAAATATCCATATAAACCCGTTCTTCTAAGCGAATAGGCAGCAAACAGTGACCAAAATTGGTAAGGATGCACAATAGAGAGTAGGAGAAGCTTTTGAAACATCTTTGAAAAGTTAAGAGAATGAAGAAATCGCTGTACCTTTTCGTGAATTAAGTCTCCGGCGGAGACCTACGGGAGATCAGGCCTCTTATTGCCAAATTGTACATAATTTCGTTATCCTTATATTAAACAACTTTTGCGCGCCCTTTCACCCAAATTACAGTGCAATAATCAGATCGAAACACTTCCTCTCTATCTTGGCCCTGATTACACCTTGATGACAATAGCACACTCAAAGTAAATAGCACTGCAGTGGTTGTCATGCTTGCACGTGTTTCTATTACAGAGCTTCGTAATCTCCTGGATTTTTTAAGGGGATATTGGTTCTCGTAAGGTTCTATTGAAGACCTCGTGCCAAGGCCTGAGTGAAGTTTGACGCTAGGCATCGGTCTTTAAAAGTTTTTACCTTCTATCCGTAATTGTTTTAGGGAAAAGATGCAGCAAACATTCTTATTTCGCAACAATTCAATCGTGTGGCCGAGAATAACGCGCGTGTAAATGTGTTTGTGTGCGGATATAAGTGTATATATGTGCATAGGCTTATCATATGTGTATACATGTGCAAGCACATATGTGTGTTTGCTAGTGTACATGTGCATATATGTATGACGATGAAAGGACGTCCCAAGAAAAGCGTAATCTATGGCTGCGCTTAAATGTACGCATATTTTATCGTAGAAAAAGAAGTACCAACACACAAGTGATAATAGCATAAAAGTTGAAAAAGAGTAGACTAAGTTGGTAGTTTCGAATATCTATAAAATTGCGCAGAATAACTTTATTATTATTAATGCTATTATCAGTGCAGGGGTGCATGCCTCGCAAAGCCATTGTCTGCAAGATATTGCCAATTGAAGGAACTTATGGTTCTAGGTGCCCTGACAGATCATAGTGGAAAAATGTTGCGTGTTCAGGTATAATCTCCCTCTCATAGGAATGTTAAAGATAGGAGCATTGGAAATTATCATTTCAGGGTATTCGGTTAAAATCTCGAGTATTCTGCCCTTTATTTACCAGATTTTAATTTCGGGACATTAATTTTGAGAGTGATTTCTTCTTCAGTTAGTAAGTGCAAAATTGAGCAGGTTTCTCCTCTTTTAATTCATTCTTCTCTCCTCCCTGAGTAAATGAGATTTAATTAAATATTATTTCAAAATGTTTAATAAACTAGAACATTGCTGACCTTAGGCTTGAAAACGTCCTCATTGTTAAGTCCTGCCAAGGTTTGATAATTTGGATCATATGTGCCCATTATCTTATTTTCTGCAGGAGGTCTTATATTTAGCTTACCACCACCACCGCCACCACCACCGCCACCTCCACCTCCACCACCACCATCGTCGCCACCACCACCGCCACCACCGCCCTGAAAAGAAATCTAGTCAAAAGCAAACCTTTTTTGCTCCTTTTAAAATGCTTCTAAATTCCAGCACATTGTTTAGAGCAATTTTTTTCTATTGCTAAAAATTCCTACCTTTGGCTTGAAAACGTCTTCGTTGTTCAATCCGGCCAAGGTTTGATAATTTGGGTCATATGTGCCCATCATTTTATTCTCTGCAGGAGG